TGTAAGACTTTGTGGGCAAGAAGCTAGTAAAAAGATTGGAGGAGGAAACAAATTACTCAAGACACAAACATTTATTAAGCACATACTGTATGTATGATACTCTGCTAGTTGCTAAAGATACAAGTGCAAACAATGAAACACTCCAGTCTTAAGTAGTTTAACATTCTAATGGAGGAACCAAGAAGTACGTGTGTAGTTATATGTTGCATAAATATAATGTGAGTGATATAATTTATGCTAAGTAGTTAGATGAAAGGGTTGTGAGTGAGGGCACTAGCAAACAATTGGGAGCATCAGAAAAGACTTCATGCAGAAGATGGTTCTTGAGCTGTATCTGTCTTTTAAAGAAAGAGAGGAGGAGGTAAGGAAGGGAGTACATTACAGGCATATGGGGGAGCCAATGTCAGAAAATCCAGGATAAAGAGAGTATCTAGGAAGAGAAGGTGGTTGGTGTGTCAGATTCACCAGATAGGTAGAAAAGGATGAGGACTGAAAATACCATTTGATTTAGCAATTAAAATATTTTAGTTGGTAACTTTGGAGGCAGCAGTTTCAGTTGAGTGATTACCTTCAAGTGCCAGATGACAAAGGATTGAAGAATGAATGAGAGCAAGTAGAGGTAGTTGTAGACAGCTTTTTCAAGTAGTATAGCTGAGAAGGGGAGGAGATATAAAAGGGCCCATGGATTAGGGTTAATTAAAATTCAGTATGAGAATACTAGGTTTTGGTTATTAGTATTGCTTCTACCCCTTGATTGCAAAAATAATTTTTAGAAATATCTTTTAAATTGCTTTTAAATTCAGTTTAACAACACTGAGCTTCTGAGAGGTAGTGTGGCAGAGTGGATAAAAAAACTGGCCTTGGTCCTAGGAAGAATTGGGTTCCAGTTTTCTGTTGAATATTGGTGATGTGACCCTGGGAAAGACATTTAACTTCTTGGTGTTTTAGCTAAATTTCCTTAGACCTTATGTTGCAGGACAAGTACCAACCTGCATTTTTAGAAGGGATTTCCTCATTTGGGGGCTCTCTATTAATGAAATCACAAGGATAGTCCCTATGCCCTAAGCTCCTACTCTGTTGTCCAGTAGGAAATAAATTATTTTAGCACACCCTCTTATTTTCTTCTGGCCTTTTTAATAAAAAAAAACCTTTCCATTTTCTTAGAAATAATATAATTTCCAAACAGGAAGAGGATTCTTTTTGGTTGTTAGTGTTATTGTTTGATTTGGGGGCAGGAGTGATGTAAAGGGAAGAATAAACAGGGGAGTCCGTGCCTTATAGGAATTTTATATCTGTCATTCTGTAAGTACTTACTGTGTGTGAGGCACTGGCTCACAAAGACAAAACTAGAAACTGTTCCTGTCCTTCAGCTTACATTCTACAAGGATGCAGGTAAAATATAATGTGCTAACAGGTGTAAGGATATAGGATTATTTGAGGAGCAAGAACGCTCAGAACTAAAGGTCTTAAGGAAGATTTCCATAAGAGGTAACACATAAGTTGACCCTTAAAGGGAGAAAGGGATTCTAAAAAGCAGAGTGCGTTCCAGCAATGGGAGCAGCCTCTGAAAAAAGGCTCTGTGGCAGAAGATAAAGCGCTGACTTTGGACAATAACAAGTAGACCAGTATAGCTAGAATGTAGGATACATGAATAAGAATAATATTCAGTAAGCCCAGAAAGGTAGAGTGGAGGCAGGTTGTAAAAGGTTTCCTATCTTAAGTGAGAAGTTCATATTTTATTCTAGAGGCAGTAGGGAGCTGCTGAAGGTTCTCAAGGTGGGGAGTGGTGTATGCTTTGGGTAGATTATTTTGGTAGCTATGTGGAAGATGGATTCGTGAGAGGGGGGAAGGGGAGAGAGAGAGAGACAGAGAGAGACTCTAAATTGGGAATCTAAAGCTGTCCTTTACTCGGGAGAATGATGGGTCCTAAAATAGGGTGTCTGTCAGCCACTTGAATGGAGAAAAGAGAATGAATGAATGAAAGATGTTGAATGTACAAAAACAGGTTTTTGAGGAATGTGGAAGAGTGAGGAGTCAAAAGTGCTCCAAAGGTCGTAATTTTTGGCTTGCTTGACAGTTGTTGGTGCTCTCCACAAAAGAATAAGAGTTTATAGTCTTGGGGTGAGAGATGGGTTCAGTTTTGGACATATTGGGTTTGAGATACCTGAGACATACAGTTGGAGATAACTAAAGGTAGATGGTGATGTGAAAATGGAGCTGGATAGCTACAGATCTGGCAGTCATCTTCATGAAGACATTAATTGAAACAAGGGGAAATTATATGGGGGGTGGGGTTAAATAGGTAGAAAAGACCAAGAACAGAGCCTGGGGAGATAATGATTAGTAGGTTTACTGTAATTAAAATGGTCTAGTTAGGGGCAGCAAGGTGGCACAGTGGATGGAGCCCTGGAGATCAGGAGGATCTGAGTTCAAATGTGACCTCAGATACTTACTAGATGTTTGACCCTGGGCAAGTCACTTAACCCCAATTGCCTCAAAAAAAAGAAAGAAAGAAAAATTGGTCTAGTTCCATGATCCCCGAGTAGCTGAAATAGTTATCTCTTCCCCTCCCCCCTAACCTTCCATCTCAGCCAAACTTCTCTTATACTGAGGGCACGATTAGATCTTCTAGTCACCTAGCCTTGCAGGTTGCGACTCCTCACTGTTGTTCAATTTGTTGCCAGGTCCTGTCTATTTTGCCTTTGTAAGGGATCCTTCAGATGTCCCTTCTCACCTCTGACCCTGCTGTCACCCTAACGAAGGCCCTCATCTCAGGCCTTGCATGTTATAATGAACTGCTACTTGGTTTCCCTGCTTAAAATCTCTCTTCAATCTGTCCTGTACTCAGGGCCAGCTAGGTGGCACAGTGGATACAGTGCCAGCCCTGGAGTCAGGAGGACCTGAGTTCAAATGTGACCTTAGACACATAATATTCACTAGATGTGTGACCCTGGGCAAGTCACTTAACCCCAGTTGCCTCACCAGAAAAAAAAAATTTCAGTCTATCCAACACTCTGCTGTCAAATTGAATATCTAAAAATGCAGATCTGATGTGACATCCCCTATGCAGTAAACTCCAGTGGCTCCCTATCACCTCCAGGTTCAAATATAAATCTTCTCTTTGACTTTGAAAACCCTTCACGTTCCAGCCGCCTTCTACTTTCCTCGTCATTTTATACCTTGTTCTCTGAAGCATACAGTGGGATCCAGTGACACAGGCCCTCTTATTCTTCCTTACACAAGCAGTGAATCTGTCTCCAGGTGTATTTTGGGGGGGGAGGGGGCTAGGCATTAGGGTTAAGTGACTTGCCCAGAGTCACACAGTGCGAGTTCTGTGTCTGAGGCCACGTTTGAACTCTGATCCTCCTGACTCCAGGGCTGGTGCTCTATCCACGGCGCCACCTAGCTGCCCCCAACTCTGAGCCTTTTTACTGATTGTCCCCACGTACCCAGAATACTTTCCTCCCTCATCTCCACTTCCTGTTTTCTCTGGTTTCTTTCAAGTCTTGGCTGAAATACCATCTTCTGTGAGACTGTATTGGTTCCCTTTAATGCTAGTCTCTTTCCTCTGTTAATGTTTTCTTCCCCATTAGACTGAGTTCTTTGAAAGCAGGGGCTGTCTTCTGCCTTGCTTTGTATTCCCAATGCTTAGCACAGTACTGGCACACAGCAGACGCTTAAGACTAGTTTGCTGTAATAATGTCTAGTGGTTATCAAATTGATATTGATAAAACAGAGACCTGACCATTTTTCTGCATTTAAAAAAAATCTCCACCCCTGTAGCCTTCCCTTCGATTGGATGGCTCCTTATAGAACCTCTATTCAAGGAGGAAGTCCAGGCCAACGTTCTTTTATTTCTCTGCAGGCTGTGTTCTGGTCATTCTCTACCACGCCCTCGGGTATCTTTATCTCTCACGCCCCCTACCCCCAATTCCAGCTTGTTTTTAATGTGTTGTCTTTTCCCAGTGGAATTAAGCTCCCTATGGGCAGGGACTATCTTTCTACCTGTGTTTGTATTCTCAGAGTTTAGCATGGTACCTGGGTATATATTAAGCACTTTGATAAATGCTTTTTGAATGGTTGATATTTTCCCCTATTTAGGGGAAAATATTGATGATTGTTGGCTATAACGCCTTTTTTCTGTAACTTCTTGAGAGATAATAGAGAGGGGTCAGAAGTAGGTGTATCTGGTAAGTAATTTGACCCTTTGGGGAATTAAAAAAAAAGGTTAAAGAAACAATTTATGTTGTATGTCGTACTCCTGTTTCGTGGGACGTGTTATATAAAATCAGAATTTTAAGCAAGACGTGACCTTAGTATTCATCTAGTCCAACCCTTTTATTCCACAGATAAGGAAGTAGGCCTAGAGAAGTAAAATAATGTCTTTAATGTTATGCCAGTAACAAATAGCAAAGCTGTGACCAAACTCTGATATTGAGACTCTAAATATGGTGCTTCTTCTACTAATCATCTAACATGTAGAATGGAACAAGAGACTAGTATATTTTAAGATTGTTATTGTTGGCAGGATATTATAATTTGGAAAATGGTAGGAAACATTTGTCGTCTTTATATGAATTTTCTCAAGTATAGAAATGTGTATGAGAACATTTTTGTTGTATTTGGTAAATCTGTGATATAAATCTCTGACAACCTAATTTGACAGATTCCAGTTTCAGACAGCTCTGGTAGAAGGCTGTTTGACTCTCCCTCATTGGTGGAATCCAAGCTTTCTCTAGGGTCTTTCCATAGAGAATATTAAAGAAAGATTTCAGGTTCTACTTCAGCCATGTTTGTGCCATGCTCTTCTGGCTTTAGCTGCTTAACCTTGCTTGTGCTTCAGGGTTGAACTAGAATTCACTTATGAGCTATGTGACCTTGGGCAAATCATTTAACCTGTTTGCCTCAGTTTCCTAAATTGTAAAATGAGGGTAGTAAATGTATCTTCCAGCATATACATACTGACTGACTTTTACAGTTTTTTTTTCTTTTCTTAACAGTTGGAAGATGGACATACTTTATTTGATTATAATGTTGGACTGAATGATATAGTTCAGCTGCTGATACGTTCAGAGCCTGATGGTCCTACCACTTCAATACAGAGTAAAGGTGGTGAGGTAAAACCCCGTTCTAAGAGTAGCAGCAGAAGTAAAGCCAAGAAAACAACAAGCAGCAGATCTTCCAATCAGCCTTCTACATCAACTCGTTCATCTCTTATTGATCCAGGGCTTGGAGTATATAAGGTAAGTGTCTGTTATTCTCAGGTTTTAAAAATTGGCATACGTGTACAAGAACTATTGATCTTTTTTCTGAATGTTTACAACAGTAAGAAACCTGTTCAAAAGTAAATATTTGAATTATGTCCTGTTTTTCAGCTAATTTGAGCAAAGGGGCCAATGTGAGAATTATTCCTCAGATTGAATGAATTGAGATACAGATTTTAGTCCATTACTATTATGTTTGAAGGACAGAAATCTGCTCTTAAGAATGTACTAGTAAAAAAAAAGGTTGTTTTATATTTTTATTTTATTAATTTATTTTGAATTATCAATCATCTCCATATGCTTTTGAGTTTAAAATTTCTCCCCCTTCCTCCTCACCACCCTCCCCAAGACAGTGCACAATCTGATATAGGATATACATTTACATTACTATTAAACATATTTTCACATTAGTGATGTTATGAGGAAAAATTAAAACCAATAGGAGGAACCATCAGAAAGAGGAAAGAAAACTCAACAGAAGAGGAAAAAAAATAGCACTTCAACTTCCATAGTTCTTTCTGTGGATGTGGATAGCATTTTCAATCACGAGGGTTCTGGAGATGTCTTAGATCCTTGTATTGCTGGGAAGGGTTAAGTTTATCAATATTAGTCATAGCACAATGTGGCTGTTATAATGTTCTCTTGGTTCTGCTCACTTAACTCAGCATCAGACATACAAGTTTTTCCAGGTTTTTCTAAAGTCAGTCTGCTCATCATTTCTTATAGCACAATAGTATTCCATTACATTCATATACCACAGCTTGCTCAGCCATTCCCCAACTGATGGGCATCCTTTCAATTTCCAATTCTTTGCCACCACAAAAAGAGCTGCTATGAATGTAAAAAATAGTTATTTTAAAGAAGATCTTAGGATGCCAGTGTCAACAGAAAAGACTAATATATAATGTGTTCTTTGTAGTTGTAGCTAATTTTTTTTTGTTACACAGTTTACCATCAGAGAATAGGGAGATGTAAAAAAAAGAATGTTCAGGGGCAGCTAGGTGGTGTAGTGAATAGAACACCCACCCTGGAGTCAAGAGGATCTGAGTTCAAATTTGATCTCAGACCAGACACTTGACACTTACTAGCTGTGTGACCCTGGGCAAGTCACTTAACCCCAATTGCCTTACCAAAAAAAGAAAAGAAAAGAAAATGTTAATTTTCTTTTTAAAAAATTTGTATTGATCTCTTCAGTGCATAATACCTATAATGCAAATAATTTCCATCTTCTCAAAACTCTCCTCCTCCTCTGTCATCATACTCCTTCTCCCTAAAAGTCAGTGTTGTGGTATATGAACTTCTGTTTTCATTTGCTTTGTCTGAAAGGGGACCCTGCCTGGCCAGTTCCAGTTGGGCAACTCAGCTCTTCCTGCCCTCCCCTCCCTTGCCCTGCCTTGAAAGGTACTCTGCCCAAAGGAAGGTAAATTTTGATAGCTGAAAGCTACCTATCAACTGGGGGTTTACTGGCCTCGATTTCTTTCTCAAAGACCAAGACTTAAACCCAATTCACTCTGGATCTTTTGGATTGGACAATGATAGGTTCCTGCTCAAGCACCACTTAATGGTTATTTTTTGGGGCCCTCCTGGCCCAGAGTGAATGCAAATAGTAACTGTTTCTCTTTTGGCCTGCAACCATGAGGGTCTTCCCCTCCCAGTTTGAATTTTTTTTTTTTAATTAAAGGGGCCATCCTTTGACTCTCTTCTTAAAGAGGCCTGTTCATTGAATGGATGTTGCCTTACTCAAAATGAGAATCTGAAAAGACCTTAGTGTAAAGGGCCAAGGGTCTCTCATTGTATCCTGGGCCATCTCCAGTCTTCCTGATTGACGTCTGGCCACTGGACCCAGATGGCTCTGGAGGAGAAAGTGAGATTGTGAGTTGGCACAGCCCTCCCTCACTCAAATCAAAGTCAGTTGTGAGTTATGTCATCATCTCCCTGATTACTTGGTCTTCTTTGAGAATGAAGGACAAACCACAACTTTACTTAAAAAAAATCATACTATAAACATCTAACTTTGGAATAGAAATGTTCTTCTTTACTTCTTTTTCCTTCTAGCTCTTTATCCAGAGCAGCAAAGAGGAAAAACTGTATGACGTGGAGAAGTAGAGTGGGGGCAGCTAGGGGGTGCAGTGGATAGAGCACTGACCCTGAAGTCAGGAGGACCTGAGTTCAAATCTGGCCTCAGACCAAATACTTGACACTTACTAGCTGTGTGACCCTGGGCAAGTCACTTAACCACAGTTGCCCTTTAAAAAAAAAAGAGAGAGAAGTAGAAAAAAATGGAAATGGGATCTCTCCAAAAACCAGTATTATCTATGCCTAAGGTGGGGGGGAAGGGGTGGGGTTTGATATACATAAGCCCCTGACTGTGAAACAGGCTAGATAAATCTAGTAGTCCTCTCTATTTAGAGTAATAGGGTGAAACTTTATGCCAAAATTGGCCTAATTTTCCTTTTCTTCAGAGTTTCTAGGGTGGTATATCAGGAAAATTATGTAGATTTTTACCTGAATTTCTGTAAATAACCAGGTCTTTCAAAATATCATTGTAGGTGAGATGGAAAGATATAGACTCCTGGATAGCAGAGTTAGATGGAATTTGTTGAACAACAATACCCAGGGAGTACTTCAGGACTCTGTCCTTGGCTCTCTCGTTTAGCACTTTTAACAACAAATTCTTAGGTGATGTGTATCTCGAGTTTTTCAATAACGTGGGGAAAGAGAACTAGTAAATCTATTGACTGAATTGTGATCCAAAGATTGATAGGCCAGAGCAATAGGCCATCTAATAAGGCACATCTTTGAGGGGTGTGAGGGAAGGGAGATTTGTAGCCAGAAGAAAACACTGTTAGAAAACATGAAGTAAACTTGTTAGAAGATTATGAATAATATTGCCTCATAAGGCAGTGGAGGAAAATGGTTTGTAGAAATCTTGGAGAGGGATCCAGTTAAACTATTAGCTTGAGAACGTTTAAGGAGAAAACCAAAGGATGAACAGTACATGGACATTGGAAAGCAATCTGTCAATTTCTGTAACAGACAGTTGCTCCGTCAAGGATGGTAGAATCCACCACATTTGGGTTGTAACATCACAGCAACAAGGTACTATATGAGGAGGTAGAAATAGCAGTAAGGAAAACTAACATAGGAAGAATGATGGGATCAGGTCAGTACACACAGAGGTGGTCTCTGCTAGAAGCTGTTCAGGTTTGTAGTTAATTGAGGAATAAAGATATCAGAAGGAGGAGGAGGTTGTAGTCTTTTACATAGTCTGATTTTTTTTGTTTGTTTCTCCTTTGGCCCAACTGCTAACTTACTTTTCAGCTTCCATATATACGTATATACTCTCTCCCTTTTGTTGATTTGATTTCTTTTGTGGTATTTGAGAAAAATTATGGATTTTATATTATCACAGTGTTTCTCCTTTGTATTTGATAATTTTTTTTGAGATTTATGAATACTTAAAACTTATCCTTTGTTTTGTTTAATTCTCTTCAGATTGTTAGTAATTACAATTTGTTAAATTGTTCAGGCGTTTTTGTTTAAATTATACTGTTTTAAATATTGTTTAAACATTTATAATAGACTTGTGATTCCCTTATCATTAATTTCTTTCTACTTGTTATAATTGTTAACTTTTCTTTTATGAGTTTAACTTCCATGGCTTTTTTGTTAGGAAGAGTTTAATACTTTATTCACTCACATCTGTCTGTTTCACGGAATGTCTTGGTTTAAATTTGATTTTATCTAAAATTATTAGACAAAACATCCAATTGTTTAGGAGCAGATATGTGGCACAGTGGATGGAGTGTTGCTCCTAGAGTCAGGAAGACTCTTTATTCCTGAGTTCCAACCTAGCCTCGGGCACTAACTAGCTGTGTGACCCTAGGCTAGTCACTTAACCCCGTTTGCCTCAGCTCCTCACGTGTAAAGTGAGCTGAAGAAAGAAATGGCAAACCACTCTAGTACCTTGCAAGAAAACTTCAAGTAGCATCACAGAGTTGGACAGGACTGAAAAATGAATGGAAAAAATTATTACTGCTTATAAATTGACTGACCATTTTGTGATATCTGTTTATACTTTTGGTTTTAATTTCCACTTTTTTAGTTTGAAGAAAAGAATAAAGATGAAATCATCATTTATTTATTAATGGTACCAAAAACCCTTTTATTCTCATTAAAAATATTAATAGTGTTGAGGGAATGAATGATTTTAAAATGATAACTAACAGGTGTTAAAGAGTTTGGAATTAGCTAATATATCACTGTATGCCTCATGGAGAATAGAACAATTTGTAAGTTGTCCTCTCAGAGTTAAAATAATGCAGGTGACAAGATTCAACATTGGTGTTAACAGTACATAAAAACAGGCATATAGGTGAGGACCCATGCTACATTACACTACAGTTCCAGTGTTTACTTGTGGTAGAAGGTGACTAGATTATTAAAGGCCATGTTAGTGGATCTTGATTACTTCTGGCTTGAGTAACCAGGAGAGACTTCTTGTTAGGAAGTGGTGTTCATCAGGACCTTAAAGAGTAGATAGGACTTTGACAGGTAAAGATTGGTAGGATATTCCACATGGAAGGAGGAGTGACCTAAGTTGAGATTCAGAGGCTAGAAAGAACAAATATGTTTTTTAGCCATCTCTTAAAAGTTAATTTTTGGGAATGACCCAGTCATGCCCTTCCCAGGTAAGCAGACTTTTTAATTAAAAGAATGTGTGTATCACCCTAAAAATATGCAGTAATATAGACTGTAGGAGAATAACTGTTTTCAGTAGGAATTTTAAAAAACTTTCTGGAGTTTTCTTTCCTTTTGAAGTGATTTTTTTCATACTAAAATGCCCATTAACTATTGCATAGAACTTCAAATTGACCCAGTCTCAGTGTCTTTGCTATTGTAGGAACACTTTCAAAATATTGCTGGAAAATTCAGATTGTAATGTTCTGAAATGTGCTAATGTTAGAAAATTTAACTTG